AGCCGCAGAAATGCGGCCGCCGGCCCCGCCAGGGCCTGGGGGTGGGGCCGCCTGCCAGTGTTTTTCCAGTTCCCCTGGTAGCTCCGGGCCGCATTTAGAAGCCGGGGAAACTGGGCCGAGGCCAGTGTCAGGGCACCAGAGGCCCTGGCGACCTGCAGAGAACTGCCCAGCGGTAGACCGAGCCAGGGCTGGGGCGGATAGGGAGGTGCAAGTGCACCTCGGCCCAGAGAGTTGTCCCAAAAAAGACCGGGCGCCAGACAGCAACCCTGGACTTCTTCAAAAAAGTGAATGTTATTTCTCAAAACCCTTGGGCTCCTACTTAGTGCCTAGCGAGACCACTTGGAGCGATATAAAGAAAACACTAATTCCCACACAGCACCTGCCCTCACACAGCTCTCAGTTTAGCTTGGGTGATAGACAAGTATTCTGGTGACTCATCCCAGGCATGATCTGATAAGTGCCAAAAGTGAAGTTTAAACAAAGGGCACCTAAGAACAGAGATTAATTCTGATTGGTGAGGAAACCCGGGTAAGTTTTTCTGAGCCATGGCATTTGAAGCCCAGAGGGGAAAGATGAGTTCAACAGGAAGAAATAGGAATAGGAGGGTGGAGAAAAGCACAGGTATGTAAATAGATAGAGCCAGTTTGGAGAAGTCAGTCTGGAGGTCCAGTTTAGAGACTTCCAGGACGTTCACCGTGGTGTATTTAAGGTTTCGATTATTTAAATTGATCTAGAAGTCAATAGTTGCAGGTGTTAGACCTTGGCTTCCTGCGGTGTAGTCCAGGATTTCAAAGCACATGGTCTGGCCTCACATGACTGAGGTTGTAAGACCAGAGCAACTTAACCTTTCTGTACCTTGGGTTTGTAAATTCTGTGCCTAGTTTTGTATCTTAGGGCTGGAAGGGTAGTATAGCATATATAATTGTGAGAGTGAAATGAGTAAATGCAAGCAAAACTTTGAAATGGTGCCTACCACAGGAACCCTGGGCTCTTATGGAGTCAACTTTATGGTTCCTAAACAGTCCCAGTAAGGGGTGTTCACCAGGCCAGAGTGCCAACCCTGGACTTTGCCCAGTGATTGTAGGATCTGCCTGTAATAGTGTCCCCCACCATGCAAAAACTGTATCTGGCAAGGTGAGGGACACCCTGGGCACCCCCCAACCTGCTTGTCCTAAATAGGTTCTGCTCCCCTTTCCCTGGGAATTAGCCTGTTATGAAACTTCTTCCTTTGTTTCTGAATTTGATATATTCTTCCAATTTATTGAGCCAGGCACTATGGGAATAAAACTAATCTGCGGTTAAAAAGCTCACAGTCTAGAAGGCAAGACAGTCTGTTTTTTTGTTATTTAAATTACTCTGCTTAGTGCCATAAAGAGGAGTCATGCACACTGGTGATACAAATTGTCACACGTCATAACAGGTAACTTTTGGCTCTTCCGAATTATGACTAATCTTTGTGAATTCTTACAGAAATTGCTGGCACAGTAAATAACCAGTCAGATTCCATTTAAGAAAAACTACTGTCAAGTGGTTACTTTCAGAATGAATTGTTATATCATACTGCTATCTTCTGAGCGAGCATGGTCACCTTGATGTAATCAAGGAACTGGACCATGTGCTGAGCAAGTTCCTTTCAATATTTGGGCTTGAGTATCCTTGTTGACATAGTGAAAAAGAAATTTCTGAAGTCCTTTTCGACTCTATGTCCTGTGATTCTTCTTCCTCAGCATACTTCTAAGAATCCTTTACAGCTTGACACACTGGGGTTATAAGAACCAATACTGAATATTTTAAAGCTTTCAACTGAGGTCCTTGGTCAT